GTTCGAGCCTGTATCTTAAAGGATGCACACTCAAATGAGAAGTGCAGTTAATACAGTTAATGCAGTAAATACACAATGTAATGGCATTTACTTTTGAATCTGAAAAAAAATCCAGAATTTTCTACCACAAATTTAACTGTTAATGGAAGAGACAAAATAAAACAGACACCACACTCACCTGATACAGTCAGTGTAACAGCTTCACTGGTGTGTGTGTATATTCGGTCTGTTGACTGTGTTCCCTTACAGGTATAAACACCTGCATGAGACTGATCAACAGTAGAGATTTCATATTTCTTCCTTTTAGCATCTCTGAGAAGATTATTATTCTTATACCATTCATAATTCCAGTAATCTCCACTTTCTATTTCACATGTCAGAGTGACTCTCTCTCTGATGAACACATGATCAGCTGGCTGGACTTTCACTGTGGCTTTTGGTCTCTCTGTTCAAAGATGATAAATACTTTTGAACCTTTTACAGTCTTACTGAACATGCAGGACAGTATTCAACAAAATTCACTTTCTGTAAGTTTACAAAGAGAATTTTATTCCAGATGTGTTTTCAAGTCAATCTTTACTGCTCTTTTGCATCTCCCACTTTCTGACTGTGGACAAACTCTAACAAACTTTCCATGTGAAATTGAACTATTGACTTCAGCTGATTTTGCCAGTGTTTATGAGATGAGCTGCATGGATTCATTAAGATTTAAAATACAATGGACGTTTTATGCTGGATTGAGACGTAATTTGCATGCAGTCCCACCATGTGTTATGTATAAAACAGGTGCATGAAGCTAATCAAGCAGTCTCTGGGCCGCTTGCATGTAAAAACACAAGATACGCTTCTCTCCATCCTGCATATGCATTTGAGGGAGAGCCACAAAAACATAGGAAGATTGTACAATAATGGAGGTGCAACTGGTTATACATCCTTTTGGATTTAGTAAAGTCTGAGTATCTCACAGCAGCTGGTTTTGAATGGCCAGGGTCAACTGGCCACCCAAAGTTCAATTACAACCTCTAAAACAAAAGAAAGCTACTGAGATTGCCCCTGTAAGCCTTGGTTTGTTATAAACCTTTAATTTTCAGGGTTTAAAACCAGACATAAATTTGCCTTACAGTCTCAAAAGATGACTAAGTGCAGATAAAGTCTAGAACAAAGGTCTTTAAATCTAGACCTAAAATCTAGTTTCTAGTCCTGGATATTGTATCTCTGCCATGGACTTCTAGAAATTAAAACATTAAATACAGCCTGTGGGTTCAGCCATGTGAACTCACTGAGAGTCTGGCAGGTCATGTCATGGATTTCCATGAAAAACATTTTGTGTAAAAATTTCACAACTGTACTCCAAACACTTATACAATTATGATATTGATTTATTTCCCACTTCTGCATTGCCTCTTAAATACAGAGTTTAACTCCCCTTTGGTTGCTAATATCTAACTGGGCTAAGATAATACTTTGCTTGGGTAAAAACCAACACCACCAGGAAATATATTTCACTTCAAATCAAGTTTTTTTATGTTACTAATAAGTGCTTTGAGCGGCTGATTATGGCACACATGAAGGAATTCATTCCATCAACATTGGACCCCCAACAACATGCCTACAGCCAAAATGACTCCACTAAGGATGCCATAACCACTGCCATCCACCTGATCTTATTACACTTGGACAACAAGAACACTTATGTTAGAATGCTGTTTATCAACTTCAGCTCAGCATTTACAACCCCATTTCCAAAAAAGTTGGGACGACATGAAAAGTGTAAATAAATGTAAATGTAAAAATCCTACATTTCATTGAAAATACTACAAAGACAACATATCAAATGTTGAAACTGAGAAATCTTATTGTTTTTTGTAAAATATTTGCTCGTTTTGAATTTGATGCCAGCAACACATTCCAAAAAAGTTGGGACGGGGCAACAAAGACTAATAAAGTTGTGTAATGCTAAAAAGAACATCTGGAGGTTAACTGGCAACAGTAACATGATTGGGTATAAAAAAGCATCCCAGAGAGGCTGAGTCTTTCAGAAGTAAAGAGGAGGAGTTCACAACTCTGTGAAAGACTGCATGATCAAATAGTTCAAGAATAATGTTTCTCAACCTAAAACAGCAAAGAGCTTCTACTTTTCATCATCTATGGTACATAATAACATTAAAAGATTCAGAGAATCTGGAGAAATCTCTGTATGCAAGGGATAAGGCCAAAAATCAGTATGTGCTGGCCGTGATCTTTGGGCCCTCAGGCAGCACTGCATTAAAAACAGATATGATTCCGTAGTGGAAATCACTGCATGGGCTCAAAAACACTTCTGAAAACCACTGTGTGTGAAAACAGTTCATCACTGCATCCACAAATGCAAGTTAAAACTCAAAAACACAAAGAAGAAAATATATATAAACAGGATCCAGACATGCTGCCACCTTCGCTGGGCCCAAGCTCATTTAAAATGGACTGAGGGGAAGTGGAAAAGTGTCCTGTAGTCCAATCAACATTTGAAATTCTTTTTGGAAATCATGGACACTGTGTCCTCCGGGCTAAAGACCACACAGCTTGTTATCAGTGCACAGTTCAAAAGCCAGTATTCATGATGGTATAGGGGTGCATTAGTGCACATGGCGTGGGTAACGTACTCATCTGTGAAGGCACCATTAATGCTGAACAATATATACATGTTTTGGCAACATATGCTGCCATCCAGATGATGTCATTTTCAGGGAAGGCCTTGATTATGTCAGCAAGACAATGCCACACCACATTCTGCATGTATTACAACAGTATGGATCCGTATTAAAAGAGTCCGGGTGCTAAACTGACCTGTCTGCAGTCCAGATCTTTCACCCAATGAAAACCTTTGGAGGGTTATGAAATGCAAAATGCAATAAATGAGCCCCAGAACTGTTGAGCAGCTGAAATCCTATATCAAACAAGAATGGGAAAACATTTCACTTTCAAAACTGCAGTATTTGGCCTCCTCAGTTCACAAACGCTTACAGAGTGTTGTTAAAAGAAGAGGTGAGGAAACACAGGGGTAAACATGCCCCCAACTTTTTTGGAACGTGTCTCTCAGTTCTAACATTTAATATTTTGTATTTATAATATTTTTCTAAAAAAATCTGGTTACATGATTTGCATATCACTGCATTCTATTTTTATTTACATTCTGCACAGCGTCCCAGCTTTTTTGGAAATGGGGTTGTAACACCACCGTACCCAAAAAGCTGCTCAGCAATCTTCACTCACTTGGACTAAGCTCATCTCTCTGTTACTGGGTTCTAGATTTCTTGAGTAACAGACCTTAGGCAGTCATGATCTAGAACAAACTATCCCACTGCATCACTCTAAACACTGAAGCCTTCTGAAGTTTGCTGATGTCATCTCTAACAATGATACACAGCCTACAGAGAGGAAGTTCTGATGTGAAGACAACAATCTCTCTCTGAATGTAACCAAGACAAAAGAGGTGATTAAAGACTTCAGAAGGACACAGACGCCTCACACCCCTCTGCACATCAGCAGTACAGCTGTGGAAACAGTGCACAGCTTCAAGTTCCTGGGAGTGTTTATCACTTACAGTCTCTCCTGGTCACTGAAAACTACCTCTTTAGTGAAGAAGGTACATCAGTACTTCTGTTTCCTAAGGAGACAGAAAAGGCACAGCCTGTGCCACACCAGTACTGTACAGAAGCATCATAGAGAGCATCCTGACCTGCAGCATCACCGTCTGGTATGGAAACTGATCCATCTCAGACAGGAAAGCACTGCAGCGGGCAGTAAAGACTGACCAGTGCATCACTGGGTCAAACTTTCCTGTCAAGCACATCTACACTAAACAGTGTAGAAGAAAGGCGTGCAGCATCAGGAAGGATCCCTCTGATCCGTCACACAGACTGTTTACACCACTGTCATCTGGAAGGAGGCTACAGGGCATTCAGGCCACGTCCTCCAGACTCATGAACAGTTTCTTCCTGCAGGCAGTCAGACTGCTGAACAGATCTACCTGATGGACCTTTAAACATTCTTATTGAACTGTTATCTCAGCCACACTGCTCACTTTCACCTGGTGCACTTTACCTTCTGCACTCAGACACTTTACTGTGAAACTTAACTTTACTCACTGTATATATGCAGTCAGTTTAATCTGTACTTTGTCTGCAGTTTTATTAATCTTTGTGGTTGAATTAATAAACACTACAGTCAATAATCAGTGCACTGATAAAAAATGTTATTATTACATTGAAATAAAAGCAATTCCATGTCTTTGTAATATGTGTGTCTTTTTGTTAGAAAATGTCTGCTTTATCTTAGTGGTGTGGTCTGTATTTTGAAAAGTTTTATTTTGCACATGATTACAATGTTTTTCTTCAAGTACAGAACATCAAATTTTATAAGTTTTCATCATCCTCTACTGGTCTGCTGTCATGCTCATGGAAACATTTTTGCATTCTTGTGGGGATGAAGAGATTTTAAAAAAATGCTGTTGGTGTGGATGAGAAAAAAAAGGAGGAAACAATTTTAAAAACATCTGTATATGTGTAGATAAAAAAACATCCATATATGTGTGGACGAAACATCCGTCTATGTGTGGACAAAGCCTTTGAAAAACTCTTAAAAAGAACGGAAGCGGTAAATACGGTAAAGAGCAGCACACTAAATGCTGAAAGAACTGAGATTTTTTTACATTTACTTGTTGAAGATTCTGTGTATTTTTTTGTTAAATATGTTTTCTACTTTTTTCCCCAATGCAGAAAAATGAATAGTTTGTAGGTTGCTTTTCTGACCGTTTTGACTGGAAATGCAATAAAAAAAGGGTCTCTGACTTTTGAACAGACCTCTATATTTACTCATGGAGGCTTCTGTGATTCTGTGCATTTTAAATTTTGTGATATGTTTATTACAGGATGATGTTTTTATAATACTAATGCACCTTATACTCTTAATGACAGAATTAAACTGCGATAGAAATGAAGTGAGAAAGACGTCACACTCACCTGATACAGTCAGTGTAACAGCTTCACTGGTGTGTGTGTATATTCGGCCTGTTGACTGTGTTCCCTTACAGGTATAAACACCTGCATGAGACTGATCAACATTAGAGATTTCATATTCCTTCCTTTGAGCATCTCTGAGAAGATTATCATTCTTATACCATTCATAATTCCAGTCATCTCCACTTTCTATTTGACATGTCAGAGTGACTCTCTCTCTGATGAACACATGATCAGCTGGCTGGACTTTCACTGTAGCTTTTGGTCTCTCTGTTCAAAGAAGAGAAATACTTTTGAACTTTTTACAGTCTTACTGAACATGCATATGGATCATTCTCCAGAACTGAGTGAGAGTTGAAAACCCATTGTAGACTTTTAACTGATTTGGACTTTAGACTAAAACACTTTGCCTTGAATGAGCCTATAGCTTAATTATGTTTATTTTATTAGAACAAATGAAAATTCTATTTTGTCACTAACGAAACATTTATAACACTATACTGAAACTTTACCAAATCATTCAGTAGTTTTAACTCAGAAATGTTAGTCAGCACATGACTATCAAACACAGCTTTGAACAGCAGCACATAGAAAATCCTAAGAATATTTTAAATCACACAAAGAAATTACTTAATTGTATATATATATATATGTATTTCAGTATTGACAATTCTTAATGTTATACACTGATTTTCAGACTTTGGGATGCATTTATTTCAAAACAGTGAGATCTAACTGCTCTCTACGTGGCCATGATGAACAGAGATGCAGTTTCACTTCATGCTCTAAAATGTAGGGGTGTGGCTAAAATAAGGCTCTGCCTATGGGACAATAAGGAACAGCATTTTTTGAATAGTGTTTTTTTTTACCCTAAAATGAATCAAAATGATATTTTAAATAAAAATCACTGAGAAATGTAAATATTATTCTATTTATATTATTTTTTGGAAGTTATGATTTGGGAGAGCCACCTCTCAACAGAAAGTCTCTATAAATTATGATTTTGTATGTATTTAGTTCATTACTGTTTTATTTTCCTTTTTTTTTTTTACAATGGGACAGTTTTGTAGAATTAATTTGGTAAATGAATTTGGTAGAATGATCCATATAGACTCTGAGGATTCATCAAATTATTTCAAAACTTTGTGGGTTCTTGTGAACTAATTTTGTGATTTTTTTACACAATCATTCTGAAATCAAATCATTTTAAAAAAAGAAATCAGAAAACATGACATACCTCTCACTGTAATCCTGATGGGATTACTGTCCTCTGACTGATAGTCTCCCCTCTTTGCTATACACTTATATTCTGCTTCTCCTGGATTAGACACTGTTATACTGTATGTTTTCAGATGATGAGGTGGTTGTACCCAATCAGAGTCTTTCTTCCAGAAAAAGTTCCAGTTAGCCTGATACGGCGGCTCACAGCTCAGAGTAACTGTGTCTCCAGTATAGACTGAGCTCTGAGGATCCACACTCAGTCTGGGTTTATCTGTTCATATAAAATGATGAAGTCAGCAGAGCTAATTTACTCTTTATAATATCAGTAGTTTGTCATCATAATCACATGATTTGAGAGTAATAAGTTTAATGTTTCTATGTTCTATGAATGAGTTTGTTTAGTCAGGCTGCACTTTAACTTCTGACTTTGTATCTTCTTTAAGAACTCTTTATGATCTTTGATCTATTATACATTAATAACTTTAACTTAAATTACAATTTTCAGTTGTATTAGATATAAAAATGTGTTCTTGCTTGTGATTTTACTTATTTTGAACACTCGTCTATCAGGATTAAGATTTTAGTGAAGACTGTATAGCAGAAATGTGACAGACGTCAGACTGAAGCTGAAGTTTTGTTTTCTCCATTATTTTTTCAGACCTCTTCATCACTGCTTTATGTATCTATTTCTTATCTGATCAGTTGGAGTTCTAAAACAATTAAACTGTATTACTCAAGAAAGAACAAGATCTAACAAATGTTTCTCACAAAGTCCAACTTTTGCCATCAGCTGATGTTGGCAGTTTTTTGAGATGAGCTACATGAACTCATTGTGAAATCAAAAAAATTTGATTTTTTTTTCCCTTCCACTAATATTCCCAGTAATCTCCACTTTCTATTTCACATCTCTCTCTGATGAAGAGATGATCAGCTGGCTGGACTTTCACTGTAGCTTTTGGATGATACTGTTGTAATGTCAATATGAAGTTTCATTGCAAAATGCTGTATATCTGTTCCTAACAAATTTGTATATAATAATTTTTTGAAAAAATAACATTTTACTGTAATGGAAAATGCATTTTTATTTCTTTAATAAAGGTGGTATTAATCATAATATAGCTTTGACATTTACTGCATTTTATAAAGACTGCTATTGACAATGTTTATTATTAAAAATTTTGCAATGAAACACTTCATATATACTGTTTGAAGATGTTGTATATATAAAAATGCTAAAATGAAGATCAAATGTCCATATGTTCAAATATGTTAAAAAGACAAAGGTTTCATGGGGTGTCCTAATTTTTTCACATGACTGTAGTCACATTAATGTTTGTGAGTTAAATATGAAGAATAAGATGAGCATGTAAGTGTACATAAAGCTAACGAAATACTGTAGTAGATGTTGATGTAATGATTCACCTTGAGTTTGTCCACAGTGGATGAGCACAATCAGCACTAAAGCAGGAGAGAATCAGAGGACATGATGCATTATTGTGAAATATTATCTGGTATCATAGGTAGAATGAATAAGTCTGAAAAGGCTGTGCACAACTGGAGAATCAGCTCAAATCACACAGTGTGAGTAATAATCACCATGAACAGCATGCACATGCATGGTTCACCATCACCACAACTTCTGTTACTTTATCATGATTAGAATGAAGAAAAAAATGTAATTTTCAAAAGACATGCAAATAAATAAAACACTGAAAATCTACAGTTAAAACACAACCCTGCTTTCAGCTCAAGAGCAAGTCAAACAGGTTTAAATAGAACACGGTTTTGGTCAGAGGCTAAAGTTCAGCCTCAGCACAACTACAGACGTCATATTAATAAAATGTTTCAGTTTTATAGAACTTGTGTTTGCTGTTGTACTTTGTAGTCAAACATCATTTTGCTAGACTTTTCTAGCTATTAAAACCAGCCCCTCAGCCTTTAATGAGGGACCTCGACTGTGAGGTAAATATGGCCACTTTGGGCTGAATTCAAATTCAAAAACACTAAGTGTTCAAAACTTAGTGGAAGATGGACACAACATAGAACCTAAAATGTCTAGATAAGCTCTTTCTGAAGTTAATTATCATTCACAACATCTCACAACAAGACCATAAATGAAATGAAACTCCTGATACTCTGACTTTAACATCAAAGTAAAGCTTATAACAACAACTTTTTACAGCAGCACTGACTCTAATAAAGATATACAGAGAAGCTTTACTCACAGAGCGTCACAGAGAGCGAACTGAGCTCCATACTGTCCCAGTAATGACTGACTGACTATTCTGTGTTAAACCCTCAACATTTCCTGTGTTCTTACACACGCAGTACAAGAAAGAGCGAGAGAGAGAGAAAGAGAGAGAGAGAGAGAGAGAGAGAGAGAGAGGCGGAGATTCAGTCATAAAATAATATCTAAGAAAAACATCTGAGCACTTCATTAACCTGCAAATTGATCAAAGCTGTATGATTACTTATGACCTTAAATTAAATATTAAAAATATTTAAAAATATTTTTCAAAGATTAGATTGACAGTTCAAGTTGAACGCAGGGCATGTACTACAAATTTTGGTCAGTTTATACCTGAAAAAATGTTCCACCAAAAATCCTTCCAAACTCATACAGTAGTTGAGAGAAAAAGTTTAATAAAAGAAACAGAACTGACCCATTAGAGGGTCATCACAAGATTTCTTCTCTCCTCATTAAAGGCCTTTCAGTGGCTTTACTCTGAAACAGAATCCTGAAATGGCTTTTGTTTTAATATCAGGACAAGGAGTCTTGTTTTAGCAAGTTTTAAAGAGTTATTGCTGTTTCTGTAGGTGAAGAAAATTAAACTAACTTAGACTAAAAAAGATGCAATAAAATGCAGCTCTTAGAACAGACAATTTAATTCTACTTAGATTTAAAAGCCTTATTAAGTAAGTGTGTTTTAAGATTATTTTTAAAAGTACTCTGAGAGTTTTGGATAGAGAATTAAGAGCTTGCAAGCTGATTCAGCCTCTTCAGCTGAACTTCTGAATTTCTTTGATGACCTGAGTGACCTTGCTGGACCATTACAGTTCATTCTAAAAGACACAGGTAGCCAGTGAAGGGATATGAGGGCAGTTTTAATGTGATCTCTCATTCTAGTGTGTCTGAGGTTTCTGGCAGCAGCATTCTGAACTCTGCGTTTAGAGCTCTTCAGTAGGTCAGATAAGACAGTGCTGCAGTAATCCAGTCTAGATGAGACTGAGGCTGCAAACATGTTCACTCTCAACAATGGAGAGAATGTTACAGACCTGGGAGAAACTGCAGAGGTGATTATATGCTGTTTTGCAGATATCAGTGCTGTGTTTCTCAATACTGATGTCAACATCAGAAACCATGGCTGGATTCTTGATGTAGATTTCCACCTTCACAGAGAAAGAATCTAAAACAAAGATACAGTTTTCTTGGAGTCACATTTCCAAATTCTCTACCTTATTTGTATTTCCTCTGCAGGAAGTTCTGAGAAAGACATGTTTAGCTTGATGATGTCAGCATGCTGATAAAAATAAATTTAGTTTTCAGTATTTATACTAACAAGAAGAAAATATAGCTATTAAATTATGAAGGGTCCAGAATTGAGCCTTGTGGGACACCACAAAATACTGCCTGAGTGTCCAGTGCAACAGTCATGACCACTTAATTCAAACCTGAATCAGTCTAACCAGAGATGTAAGCCCAGTTCTTCAACCAGTCAAGTAAAATCCCATAGTCATTATCAGTGGTTTTAAAGGCAACACTTACATGTCAGAGAACCAAGATAGTTTCCAAATCTCAAATAATTTTGTCAAGAATTGTGATGTTATAGAAAGGTCTGAAAATAGCAAGCATTGACAATATTTGAAATTGACAATATTTCGGAAGTCCACTGACAATAAGCTATAACCAGTACTATGGGCTGACTGCTCACTTGTTTTCTCTTATGGCAGTAATTTTTAAACTAAAGAATTTAGCCAACTTGTTAAATTTATAAGTTGAAAATAATTCAGGTGTGATATTATAAGAGGTTAAGCCATCTATCTACAGTGAAAAAGCAATTTGAGGTGGTCAGTTAGGGACAAGAACTAAGAATTCCTACCAAACTTCATTTCATTATCAATGTATTTGAAAGTGTGGTGTAATCTGGTGAACTGTCGTCATTGCCTTTAAACTCTTCTGCTGACTGCGTATCTGACTTTAGAGCAGGGTGGGGGTCCTGGACGGCCGGATTCCTGCACAGTTGGGTGATTTTCCTGCTCAAAAACACCTGATTCAACTATTCAGTTCTGCACCAGGTTTAGTTGGAGTCTTAGAGCAGAAAAAACCCAAGCTGTGCTGGACTCTGGGCCTCAGTTTCCCACCCCTAATTTAGAGCTTTGACCAAAGGTTGTGTTAAATGTGACTTTAAAAAACAGCATGGATGGTTTCAGTTCCTCATTCGTTGATGATGTCATTACCACTAGAACAGAAGTCAGACCACAAACACATCTAACTCCTCTCTGCTCTCAGCATTCAGACATTATAGTCTGGGTGTGAGTTTGGCTGATGAGGTGCACAACAGTTCTACTAATAGATTATAGATATGTGAGCAGTGAGACGCTCCCATAGTTGTCTGTGTCTGTCTGTGTGAGTGAGATTTTATAATAGAGTGTTCACTTGTAAATACATGGTGCTGCTGCATGAAAAAAAACTTTTAGACAAGACAAAACGTTACAAACACCTAATTACAGTTCAGTTCTGTTGACTTGATTAATGTCTGTTCATTTGATGTACAAATTTATAGGGTGATTGAAGGCTGGTGCCAGTTCACTGCTGAACAAGGTGTGAGTGAGGTTCCTTCTCCAGCCAGTGTAAAGGCCTTTATTCACGGAGCACAATTTATTCAGGTGATTTTTTGGAAATCAATAAATTACTTACAACACATGATGAACTGATCATAGTTTTCTTTATCTTTAATAATTACATTAAATTAAGAATAATGCACACTAAAAAGACAAAAATATTGGGACATCTATGGGAGCTTTTATGACATCCCATTCTAAATCCATAAGCATTAATATGGAGTTGGTCCCTTTTGCAGCTATAACAGCTTTCACTCTTCTGAGAAGCTTTCTACAAGATTTTGAAGTGTGTCTGTGGGAATTTTTACCCATTTATCCAGAAGAGCATTTGTGAGGACACTGATGTTGGACGAGAGGGCCTGGCTCACAATCTCCGTTCTAGTTCATCCCAAAGGTGTTCAGTAGGGTTGAGGGCTCTGTGTGAAGTTCTTCCACACCAAACTCACCCAACCATGACTTTATGGACCTTGCTTTGTGCACTGGGGTTCAGTCATGCTGGAACAGAAAAGGGCCTTTCCCAAACTGTTCTCACAAAGTTGGAGGCATACAGTTGTCTAAAATGTCTTGGTCTGCTGAAGCATTAAGATTTCCCTAGAGCTAAGGGGTCTAGGCCAACCCCTGAAAAACAACCCCATAGCATAATCCCTCCTCCACCAAACTTTACAGTTGGCACAGTGCAATCATGCAGGTGACGTTCTCCTGGCTTTCACCAAACCCAGAATCGTCCATCAGGCTGCCAGATAGAGAAGTGTGATTCATCACTCCACAGAATACAAGACAGATAAGGACAGCAGGTAAAATGTAAATAAAAACAGAAAGCAGCGTTTTATAAATCTACTTTGACCTGAAGTTGAATTAAAATAGTTGCAAAGAAAGGATGTAATGCTCTACTTTATCAGTTTCACAGTTTTTTTTGTAACTAGGCTCATTCTGAAATTATTGCCTGCAACATGGTTCAAAAGAAGATGAAGAGCACTGTGAAATGTTCAAAAAACATCTTAAACAGGGGATTCAATCATGCGTGGATATAAAAGGAGCGTCAAAAAAGGCCAAAAACCACAATGGAAATCTTCTGACTTTCGACCCCTCAGACAGAACTGTATTAAAAACTGCCATGTTTCTGTGATGGAGATCACCAAATATTTTGACAAACCTTATTCAATAAACACCATCTGTCACTGCATCCACAAATGAAAGTTAAGACTGTACTACGCACAGCAGAAATGATATGTCAACTATGTCTAGAAACGCTGCTGATCTCTCTGGACTCAAGCTCAACTAAAATATATTGATGAACAGTCGTGTATTGTGGTCTGTGAGTCAAAATTTCAGATAGTTTATGGAAATAATGAACGTTGTGTTCTCTGGGTCAAAGAAGAAGAAAAGGACTGATTGTTATCAGCATGATGTTGAACAGCAAGCGTCTGTCATGGTTGTGGGGGGTATTAGTGGGTAACTTGCAAATATGAAGTGTGAATGAGAGCAGAAAGGTGTGAACCTAGGTAATACCTGAAGATACGAGTCTTCAGACCACAGAGGAAAGAACTGAGCGTGAGAACTGACTGCAGTGCAGAGTCCGGGGGAAAGTTCAGTCCACCACTCAGAGGCAAAGACACCAAAGCAGAGAGACCCAGCATTACAGGTCTGCTTAGATTTTAAGGAAGGACGTGAGCCTGGAAATTGGATATCAGTATTGTTCTAAATATGTGAAGAAAAGACTGTCCTGTAGTAAATATGACTTCATAGCTTTACACAAACAATGTAATAAATGTGAGTTAAAAGAAACATCATTATGTTTCAGGTCCTCATTTAGTTGATGTTGTCATTACTGCAATTTTATTAGAATAGAAATCAGACCACAAACACATCTCTAACTCCTCTCTGTTCTCAGGCCTCTGAGACTAAATTTGGCTGATATGTGCACAAACAATGCACTCATAGTCTACAGAAATATAATCAGTGAGATGTTTCCACAGTTTTGTATCTTTGTGTGTGAGGTTTTCTGTGCTCTGCTAAATAATCAGCTAAATAACTAATTACAAGTTATTAATGTGGAGGATCTTCAGACTGCAGAATGTGATTTATAATGACTTGCAGATGTTTTGTTCATCAGTCAATTGTACACTGAAACTAGAGATAGCACAATACCACTTTTCCTTACAAAATATTAAGCTTTAAAATGAATGATTTTTAACTGAAGCTCTTCACTTAAGGTGAACATCTAATAGGCTATTATGTTGAAAGTTCTCAAATGTTTCACCAGCCCACAGGAAGAAATACACAGGCAACAATATTGCATCACACAGTCATCATGTTCTTTAAACCTCACCCAATCAATGTGGCAGGACGCATTATCCTGCTAAAAGAGGCCACTGCAATCATAAAATACTGTTCCCATGAAGGGATGTACCTGGTCTGCAACAAAGTATAGGTTGGTTGCATGTGTCAAACTCACACCCACATGAATTTCTGCACCCATATTTCTGAGCAGAACATTGCCCAGAGCATCACACTCCCTCACAGTGCATCCTGTTGCCATCACTTAAACAGAGCACACATACTCGGCCATTCACATAATATTAAAGAAAATGGACCGTCTTCTATTGTTCCCTGTCCAGTTGTGACACTCACATGTCCATTGTAGGCACCTGGTGGACAGGGGTTAGCACGGGCATTCTGACTGGTCTGAAGCTACACAACTCCTTATGCAGCAGTGTTGTGACACATTCCTCATTTCTCCTGTAACCATCATTAAACTTTTCTGTGAGTTGTTTCACAGTAGCCCTTCTGTTAGTTCTGACCAGGCGTTGCCCTCTTCATGTCTTTGTACATAGATGAGCCTTTGATGCCTAACAGCCTGTCACTGATCGATGGTTTCTCCCACCTCAGACCACTGTCTTTATGTACTTACACCCCACAAGTCTTGTTGTTTTGGACATGTTATATGACCACAATGATTTGATCCTTCTTAAAGCAGCTCAGGTCTGCAAACCTGCCCATTTCTAACACATCCAACATGTCGACTGTGAGAGCTGACTGTTTGCTAACTGTCTACTATGTCCAAGACCTTGACGTGATGTTCTTACAAGATAATCCTTTGACCTTTATATTTGAAGAAGATCGAATAATAGACTACAGTTTGTTGTTTTGATGATGTTAATGGTTTTACCGAGTCTCTGGATCCCTGACTCACCACACATCTCCCCGACTGAGCTGGAACGTACTGCATAGCAGTGAGTATTCAAGGGGGTACATATCAAGCCTTGTTGGATTCGGGTTGAAACCAGACCACAATCCGTCAATGCCTGGTTCAAAATGTGGCATTGGAGAAGGCTTAAAATTTGAAAGTGCAGTGTATTTACAAGGATATACATGAATATCCACTGGTGTCCGTCACTTTCCAGGTTTCCAGGGAGAAAAACCTAGTGTTCAGGTTGTGGTTAGTCCTTGCCTTACCTATCCTCTGATTTTTGGGACAAATTGGCCACAATTTAAGAGATCAGTTAAGGAATTTATAGAGGAGGGGTCCTGTGGTGTTGTGGAAGTGAGAGAAGAAATTTACATAAGGAGGTGCTGCCCACGACAAGCTATTAATTACTTACCAAGCGGCAATGGCCCCCTTGAGGTCACACAACAAGTAAGAGAGATCGAATATGAGGTAAAATGGTCCAACTGAGGAGGCTCACTCCAGGCATACCACCTCAACCTCCTTAAACCTTGGCCCATATGCAAAAAATGAATTCCATTAAAAAAAAATAGTTTGATGATTTTGGTGTGGAGGAGTCCAAGTGGCCTGCACAGAGATCGACCTCAACCCCACTTAACACCTTTGGGATGAACTGGAGCCAGGCCTTCTCATCATCATCATCATCCCATTCCCTTCACTGTGTGCTGGCTAATTTGATAACTGCAGTATGCTCAAACCATCTGACTGGATACCTTAGTTGATGTTCCATTTGGTTATACAACAAATGTATAACTAATGATATCTTGCATAACAAACATGATTTCTTGTCAAAACAGAAACATTATTTTTGCAACATTTCACAGACAGTAACTCAACGACCAATTACTGTTTTCTCTGGTGTTGGCATAGCAACAACCAACATGACCCATTGGTTGGGTCCAAGCAACCCATACTTTTTGATGAACATCCAAAGGATTTGTTTGTCCTCTGCTTTGTCATTTGTGCAGCAATCATCTCCAAAAGTAACAAACTGAGTTGCAAACAACCCAGTTATACATAAGTGCTCATAACGTTTCAACTCATGAGTGAGGTGTGAAATTTCCAGTCTCCTTTTGCTTTTCCAAAAAGGAAAATAGCCTACAAAATATTAGTGTTTGTTTCTTTTGTGAGCAGCAAAGGACACCTTTGTTACTGGGCTGTGACACAAATAAAATAAGCTGTAGTAAAGCAGACACTGAACAGTAAAAGAGTTTAACATGTGCCTTTAACAGTCTTTTGGAAAAGAAAACTATCAAGTCATTGTTTAGGCAAAGGTTGTTCTTTAGGAAATAACAGTTTGAAATCTTTTTTTCCTAAAACTATTTGGTTTTGTACCTGTCCAGGGTGTATCCTGCCTTCTTCCCAATGACAAGTGTTTTTTTATCGAAAATAAATACGTTTATGTAAATATTCTCTCTTTTCTCAATGTCAGCCACGTTAGCACTATAAAATATATTTTTAAATCGCAACATGCTGTGTCGAAATACAGTTTACAATGGTGTAAAATGTTAGTAACAAAACTATGGGAGAATGTCACTGGTTATAAATCAATAAGCTATGAATAGACCTGCTCTGCACTTTATCAGTCAAGCTTATTTCTAGAATACTCAGTTCTGCCTGAGAGCTGAGAGAAGTTAGATGTGTTTGTGGTCTCACTTCTATTCTAGTATAACAGCAGCAATGACATCATCAACTAATGAAGAACTAAAACTCAATAATTATAGCAGACTGTTCTGATGATAGACTACTAATCAATATGTTTACTATCATACAGTGTATCTATTGCCCAGGTATAGAGTAGTGCTCCAATATGCTGGATAATTTCATTTACAATGTCATTTTAATAGAAATAGAGAAACAGTAAAACAGAGGAGAAGAAAGGAAATCAACCCTTAAATGGCCTCAGCAATACAAGTCCCCATCTGAGAGAGAGACAATGGTCAGTGTAAGATCATATCAACTCTGGAGACACACACAGACAGCAGCACTCAGCCAGTCGCACTATGCTTTAAATAGTGCATATTTTCCACCCTTCTTGTAGTGAAGTGCTAGAAAGGCCAGGAACCACAACTGCACACCTGTGACCTACAAATTATATTATGTCAACACTGTCTAGAAATGCTGCTGACATCTCTGGGCTCAAGCTCATCTTAAATGGACTGACACACCATGGAAACATTTTGTTTTCTGCAGAATTTTCAACAAAATACTAGTGTTAATAATTACATTTCTTAAAAATGTCTTTGTCTCTGCTTATGAATACATACATTTTTAATAAACTGCATCAATACAGTGTCAAAAGACACTACATATGTACATTTCAACTGTATATATGCACTGGAAGTAAAACAAAAGTGTCTGAAATCTTTTCCCTAAATGTAATTATTCAGTGAAGGCAGAAAACTACATCAAAAATCTAGACACTTCATTTTACATACATGCTCCTCCTGCAGTGTGCAGGTTTTACCGTAGGCCTCATTCTGTGGAGTAGAAGAAAATGGTTGTTGTTTGTTGTGGATCTTTGGAATATTGGATGTTACTGAACAGGGATGTCAGTTCTGTGAAACTGAACCGTCTAATAAAGTAAAGGTAGAACAAAAGAGACTAAATGTAGAACAAAAATCCACTTAAACCCATGTAAGCAGATGCTGCTGAATTACCCATAGAAGTTACCAGAATCTGGACACTAAATCAAGATATTTCCCACAACTCAGTCACCCAGAATAGACAATCAACACAATTCATCATTCACATTATTCATTTTATCTTTATTGAAACAAAACAGTACGTTTTTTAAAAAGTTTACAAAAAACAAATCTCACTTCAAATGTGTATCATATTTCTGAGTAAAAGATATTTACCACACGTAAAATACAATGAACTATCAATAATGTTCAACATGTTGAACTATGAATAAAAAATACTATAAAACAATAAAAAGTGAAAAAATAATACTGCATTTACAAAGTTAAAGTAAACATTGAAAACCGCTCAGTTACTGAATTTATGAAAACAAATATTTTTGCTGAAAGTTGTGTTTCTTATAGTACAAAAAGCTTAAGCAAGACAAATATCAATAAAAGGAAGATCAAAGAGGAAACATGATTAATTAACAAATTAATTCATTTTAATTCAGGAGCTTCATCTTTTTAAGCTAAAGTGATTGTAGCTTAAAATGAATTTAATCACCAAATGCCTTTAGACAGAACAGTTATTGTTAACATAAAGGAAAATGTTACATTACTTAATAAGTAATAGCTGCTTTAGCTGAATATATTATAAATATTGCCAGGCATATCAGCTCGACTTAGACTGTAACAAACTGCATCACGTTCCATGTTTTCGTTCATTCATTCATTCATGTGTTTGTTTGTTTGTTTGACAGGGACACAGGAGATAAACACTGTCACATACAACGCAACACATGTAATGTATCCACTCTGCTCAGTGAGCTGCTTCAGTGGGGTTTTAGCTCCTTTTCCTCTCCGAGGTGGATCTGTTCTGTCAGATGAACTAAAAGACTACTAGAACTGCACTTACTGACACACAGCATGAATGAACAGTTAGATGTTGAGCTGTTATTTACAGCCTCCTTTTCTGACCTGTCATATTGAGTAATCTCTAAGTGGGTGTTAAAGCACATTAAAATATATACGTATAATGTAAAATCCTGGTATTCACTCAGCAAGATGCTCCAGCTTCCATCACTGCTTATGTTCTGTTCTCCTCATCAGGTTCAGCTGTGAAAAACACAGTGATCAACATTTCATATTAGTCTTTCATCAGATTTTATATAGTAGTAAAACACTACTAACACTTTGAAGAAACACACAGAGAGACTGAGTTTTTACCTTGAGCTCTGTAACATTTGACCCCCAGCACGATGGACACCAGCAAATATGGAGACACTGCCATTAAACTACTGAGCAGACTGAGCACTGAGACTGGAGCTCCTGAACTGGACACACCTGATACACACACAATAAAATCACTGTAATGAAGAACAGAAACTACTGTCAAACACATCAAAATAAAAATGCTAATTATTATTTTTTGTTAAAGCAGCAGACCTCTGACTGAGAGCCAGCTCTTTGGTGACTCTCCTTTCTCTGGGTGTTTACAGTGGTAGAGACCTTCATCTGACTTTGAGACAGTACGGATGATCATCTCTCCTGTAGTCTGGGTCTGGAGCAATGATCCATCTTTATAGAAATCAGCTGTGAGGTCTGAGGGCTTTGTGGAGCGAAATAAACAGCGGAGAGTCAGAGAATCTCCCTCAGTCACAGGATGGACAGGACTGTCCAGAATCACATCACCATCTGTAGGAGAGAGTGAGACAGCAGAGAAAACAGAAAGTGTGGAGAACTCAGTAATGATCTGAACACAGAGACCCCCATCATCAGTGAATATTAGAGACAGTGTAGTAAAGAAGAATGAATGCAGACTTTTCCTTCCCGGAGAGTAAAATATTTTCAAGTATTTAAGATAAAAAAAACAAATAAAAAATAACATATTTTGGTAAAGAATGTCTACAATTCAGCATGATAATACTTCACACTTGGTTTTCATGTTCTGGGAATCATCTTTAAAAAGTTAATTTTTTTTTTTAAATTACAAATTACAATTTTTTGTGTCTCTGTGAAGTCTGTGGTATGTTTGTGTGGTGTTTTGTATCTTTATGGACATCATGGTGTTTGGAGGATGGTTGTTCTTGAGAAGATGGTTGTGACTAACAGAAGCCGTTAATTATGCAAATCTCCACACTGTCCTACCAGACACGGTGGTGTGGTCATTGGTTGTCATTGTGAAACTGGGTGAAAGTGACTTTGTGGAGATTATTTGAAAGAAAGTGACTGTTGCAGATTTAATTAGTCTGTAATTAGTCTCTCATGATTAACATTTACCAGTAACATTGTGTTTATTTGATAGTGAATGAATCCAAGTTTTCATTATAATAGTTGCTCTATGTAATGATGATTATGTTGTTAATAATGAATTTTTTATATTTAAATTTAGATTTTTGGTCTTCTTTGTTTGTTTTTAACTATCTGGGTTCTTTTTGGACTCATTATTTTTGACCATCTGGGCTCTGTCACATGACAGAAATTCTGAATGGGTGCTTTTGATACCTTTCAAAATTTTTCATTTCAAGTCTAGCTGTGGTAAATTACTCACCTCACCAGTGAACAGTACTTTAAACCTGTATAGCTAAATATATCAGCTTGCGTGGCCAGAACTAACTGTTGTATGTATATTATGTATGAATATAACCGTGCTGATATTTCGCCACAACATCACAGGTTTTTCACAAACACTGTATCACTCCACTGAGACGCCATTGTTAAGCAATGACTGTGACAGCTGTAGGAGACACTCAAGACCTTTGAACGTTTTTACTTCTTACTTTGCGCACAAAATGATTTGGTCAGACTCTGAAGATGAGACTACACTAAATTCCCAAACTGTCAGTTGGTCTGTGTAAGGAGCTGGAGAATGAACTGCCGGCTGTGCAGCGAATGAACGGAGCTCGTTACTCTGACGTAGCTGCTTGATAAGGAACTATAATTTGACGGAAGGAACTGCTAACATTAAAACATATTAAATGCCACGTTCACGGTCCAATTGAATTATTTCTTACTTTATTTATTTATTATTTTATTTTTAACTGTTGTATAAAAGCAATAGAACACTCGAGGTTGTGTGTTATCGCGAATAACATCACGGCTGTGATTTGGTAGATCATCACGTTATTTCGCGATAACACACTCCCTCTCGTGTTCTATTGCTTAAATGTACATATTAGTACATATAGTACATACATACATTAGTACATATAACTATAATTCACCAAAATGCAAACAATAGACAAATAAATATCTCCGAACACCAAGATCAATATCACCAAGAACGCTAAGACTAATCAAGAGGGGAAGGAAAATCTTAGTACAAATTGTTCTATAGTGAACCTAAAAACTTACTATTTTGGTTCTATACAGAATCATTTCAACAGGATTCTCACCATAGAGAAGAAGCATCCAATCATGCAAAGAAGACTTTATGCAAATAGTTCATTGAGTTTTCATGGTTCTTTATAGAAACACTGCCTTTTCAGCTTGAATATAACCTGAATGAATCAGTTTTCAGCTTTTCTATCTTTGTTCCAGCATTACTGTTAGAGAATAACTGTTAGAGACTCACTGTGCACTGTGATGTTGAGAGGATCACTTCCTCCTCCAGATTCAGACTGACACCAGTAAACTCCAGTGAGGGATGTGTAGAGGGAGCTGATGTTGCATGTAGATCCTGTAACTGATGAACAATCTGACACCTCCCCACTGTGTGTGTATCGCCTCACTCTCCATCCAGTAGAGTCACTCTGTCCCTCACAGCTCAGTGAGAGAGAGCCAGCACTAAAGTGTTGAGTTCTGCTGGGACTGATGATCAGAGAGGCTGGAGGAGATGAACCTGAACACAAGATACACATGTAGCACACTGATAAATACTAATGCTAAACAAACATATTGTTTGTTAAAATAGTTATATATATTAATATAAATTCATTTCTGTATCTCCTCACCAGTGATCCATAGTGTCTGTGGAGTGCTGTACTGTGTCTGATAGGCTGGTTCTCCTCTCTCTGCTCTGCACACATAAACTCCTGTGTGATTTAGAGCAGCAGGACTGAGAGTGTAGGAGCCTCCAGCTTCTCTTCTGCTGTCTGACAGGAGCTCTACATGATACAGAACATTGCCATGAACGTCTCTTATTTGTTGTAAGCCTTGTCTGTAGAGAACAGCTCTGTACCAGCTGAATGTCCAGCCTGTAGAGGAGCCTGTAACCTCACAGCTTAGAGTCACTGAGTCTCCTTCAGTCAGCCAGCTCTGTGGAGACACACTCAATACTGCCTGAGCTACATCTGACAGAGAGAACATGGAGAATATAACAGACTAAATCAAGTTTATACACAGTGATAAGATCATTACATACAGTATAATTAATGAGAATATTAAAACAAATCCACAGACTCACCAGACACAGTCAGTGTAACAGCATCACTGATCTCTGAGCTCTGAAAGTCATTTTTTCTTTCTCCTCTGCAGGTGTATTTACCACCGTTAGACTCTGTAACAGAGCTGACTGTGAACTCCTGTGTTCTTCTGTTTGGGGACAAACGGTCATCTTTATACCAGCTGTAAGTCCACTCAGTGTCTCCTCCTGCCTGTATGTCACATCTCAGAGTGACCGCCTCTCCTTTAAACACCTGTTTATCAGGCTTTATGGACACCACAGCTTTAGTGCTGTCTGTAAGAAAATCACAGTTCCCAACACTGTTAATAAAATCAATGTTCAGATATTGAATTAATAATTGTGGATATGTTTTGAAATACAGCATTGTGCAATTGCCTCCTGTTTTCAGGAGGTTTGCTTTCAGGTTTACATAGAAATCTGTAGATATATTTCTCCACACTCACAAAGTTCAGAGTTGGCTGCATTTTCTGATTCTCTCAATCTAATTAATCCCAAACACAGTCAAAGGTGGGGAGGTCAGGACTCAGAGCTGGCTATAGTCCATTGTTCTGAGAACACTTGCAGTGTCTCTGTTTGATAAGCTTGTATTTGTCTTGTATTTGTGCTGGGGTTGTTCTCTTGCTGTGGAATTAATTTCTTCCCAATCAAACATTTTTCTGATGGTGTTTTCCGATGTTTTCAAATTTCAGAAATGTGATCTGATTCCCCACCATGCTTGACTGATGGAGAAAAATAATTTTAGCCAATTATAATATTATATTTCACGCCTCCACCCACCCACACCTATCACTAAGTGAAACACTCAACGAGCTCAGAGATCTCAGTGGGAAACCTTTAATAATGCTCAGCCTCCTGTAGTAGATTTCTTTAGAATATCACAAGACGTGTTTAAGAAAGTTTGTTGGGTATTATTGCAAAATTTTTCACCAAATTTATTCATAGAATCTGCCTAATTAGTGATTTTTCTTTACATTTTATGGTTTAATGTTATAGTGCCAGTGTGAACAGTAAGTGAACCAGAACTAATATGTAACAATGTGTCATTTTCTGCTCCGGTCTGAACCAACTGAACCAAACTGCTATGTAAACTGACCCTCAGATTTAAGGGGCCTTTAAGTGCATGTAAATGTAATAAAACTTGTTTGTTCCTAACTGCACTGCTACAATTCAGCACTATAAATTACCACTCTTACCACTGAAAATCTCTTACCAGTAACGTTTACCCAGAGTGCATCACTGTAGTGTGTGTAGTAGACCGGGTTTCCTCTGCCAGCTCTGCACCAGTACTGACCTCCATCAGGGAGACTAACTGAGCTGATGGTGTAGACGTTGGTGATGGTCTCCTTCTCAGAGTTCTGTGTGTGTTTGGACCAGTAAAATGTCCATCCAGCAGACTGAGGGAGGTTACAGTACAGAGTCACTGTGTTTCCTGTCAGTGCAGCTCCTTCATGGTTTGAGGTGATTGTAGGTCTGACTTTTACTGTTGATGAAGAACAAAGTTCAGTTGAGAGAATTTAGGCAATCAGCTTTATGTTATTTAGAACTGTAACTTTTATTTTGGTTTAATGTTTGAAGTAACACAGATAGTAGAGTTAACTCACTATGAGACACACAAGAATGTAACGTCTCCAAAAACACTGAAATGTTTCTAATGTAGCAAATACATCATTATATGTCAGAGTTTCATTTAATTTTTAATCCACACATGATACCTTCACACTTTTGTTCGTCATTATTACAGAGGAAACAGAGTGGAGATCAAAAGAAAAGTGGTAGCAGTAAATTAATCAGACTTATTAGACCAAGAAATGGTGGAAAGGTGTAACTGAGGGACATATAATGCCTGACAAACACTTATGTGTCCTAATATCCAGATGTTGGTGTCGTTTTTGTATCATTCCTTAAGCTGAAAAGGTTTTGGCTTAAACTCTGTGGGAGACTCACTCACAGCTCAGTGTGAGAACTATTAACAGACAGAGTCTTAGTTCAGCTAAACCTTATCTAGATTACTGTATTTGATAAAAAATCATTTTAATATGATGTATGAAGACAAAGAAGATTATAAAGCAACATTAAGGTCAGTTAGCTAACTAGATTAGTTAGTTTGATCAATCAGTCAGATTAAACAGGACTGTTCAGTGCTCACATTTATCATTAAAACATTGTGTGTAAAGATAAATATTAATGCACTCAAACAGGCCATTCTTTGTACTGTTTCATTAAAGTTTGCTGAAAGACCTTGTGCATGTGTTCTCTTTGGTGTCTAACATTGCTCTGACTAGCTTTACTGTTAGCTTCAGCTCATCTGAAAGGGCAGCTTTTTAAAATCCTAAATGTATTCAGAGCTTCTCTTCAGTGTGACTATAAATTTTACTTTGTACTGCTGAAGTTTTAGTCTGTTACAAGGCAGCCTGAGCTGAAAGTTTGATGGATGTAGAAACAATAAAAAAGTAAGATGAGACTTTTGTGGTCGATTAATTAGTGCAGATCATGAGAAGATCTCTTATACATGATATTCAGAATGATCTGTAATTGTCAAGTGGAAAGCTAGAAAACTGAGGAATGAGTGGACGTTTCAGAAACAGAAGCGTAATCATGGCAATATAAACAAATAATGAAACAGCAAAAAAAAAGCTTTCACATTTTAAAGCCTTTTTTCTGACAGAAAATGAATGATAAACCTGTGAAATTTAAAATGACTGGTCTAAAATGAAAAGGTCTGATGTGTCTGCTGTGTTTGTAACACATTGCTGTTAAAAAATCACAACATGCTCTGTTTTGTGCAGTGCGCAAGTTTTATTCTGCTATTCTTGAGTTGCAGGACAGTAATGAAGTGTTATCACCCTCTACTGGGCTGACATGTTCATGGGAGCATTTTTGAGTAATTTTTGTTTTCTTGTGTGGACAGAAAAGTTTTTAAAAACACTGCTGGTGTGGATGAGGATTATTTTTGAATTCAAAAAAGATTTTTTTTTAAATATCCGGATACGTGTGGACGAGGCTTAAAACTAAACTTTAGAGAACTCTCAAAGTTTGATCTGTTTTGCATTCATATTTTAAACAAACTGCACCACAGTTTGATTAGAAGTGGACTAAAAAAGAACTCCACAGAGGGTCTGCATCATGGCAGTGTTCTCTAAAAAACCACAAGAACATAGCAATTACACCAGAAGGTTATAAGGTTATTTAAATCAAAGAAGTGTGACCACACCCTGAAACTCTCTGAGAAGTTTATTATTCTTATACCGTCCATAATTCCAGTCATCTCCACTTTCTATTTCACATGTCAGAGTGACTCTCTCTCTGATGATCACATGATCAGCTGGCTGGACTTTCACTGTAGCTGTTGGTCTCTCTGTTCAAAGTTGTAAAGTCTATTTAATGATAAACATACTCCTAACCTTTGTTAACATATTCTGGACGTTTTTCAACCCTATTTGCAACTACATTTTCACTGTCAGTGAGGCACTCCTGTCAATCAAACGCAGTGGGTGTGGCCCTCGGAAGGAGTGACTAGGAGAACTTATGGCTGTCACAGGCACCAATATCAGTGACACTGTAATTGGCATCAGTCTGAGGCTCTCAGGACTGATAGAGGAACACTGGAGAAACACTGTCCTTAACATTTCAGTGCTTTCTTTGTTTTAACACTTTAAAACTTTGTTTTAACAGTCAGGTGTTGTTAACAAGCTGGTGCCACATGACCACTAAGAATGCAATTGCAACTAAGGCTGCAGATATATTTGAACTTTGGCAGAGCTGGAGTGCAAAAATGAAGAAATCCAATTGCAAATGGTTAATAGTTATTCTGTTTTAACATGTCAGAGTCAGAACCTTAAGATAATGGAAATTAAATGTCAAAAGAATGTTGCTTTTCCATGTTCATAATAAAACCATTATACACAGAAATGCAACAAGAAATACACATTTTACATTTGATTTGTGTCTAAAATGATGCATGCTCACAGGCAAAATGTAGTTGATACAGTTGATGCAGTAAATACATAATTTAATTGCATTTGCTTTTGATTTTGAAAAAGACACATTTAACTGTTAATGATAGAAATATAGTCAGAAAGATGCCACACTCACCTGATACAGTCAGTGTAACAGCTTCACTGGTGTGTGTGTATATTCGGCCTGTTGACTGTGTTCCCTTACAGGTATAAACACCTGCATGAGACTGATCAACATTAGAGATTTCATATTTCTTACTTTTAGCATCTCTGAGAAGATTATTATTCTTATACCATTCATAATTCCAGTCATCTCCACTTTCTATTTCACATGTCAGAGTGACTCTCTCTCTGATGAACACATGATCAGCTGGCTGGACTTTCACTGTAGCTTTTGGTCTCTCTGTTTAAAGATGATAAATACTTTTGAAACTTTTACAGTCTTACTGAACATGTATATGGATCATTCTCCAGAACTGAGTGAGAGTTGAAAACCCATTGTAGACTTTTAACTGATTTTAGACTAAAACACTTTGCCTTGAATGACCCTATAGCTTAATTATGTTTATTTTATTTTATTTACAACTACACACACAAAATAATAAGAATGTTTCAAAACACACAAAAAATTACATAACTGCAATATATATATATATATATATATATATATATATATATATATATATATATATATATATATATATGTGTGTGTGTGTGTGTGTGTGTAAATACGTTGGAATATACGTTGGAATATAATCTCTCTGACAGTATTCAAAAACATTCACTCTCTGTTAGTTTAAAGACAGAATTTAATTCCATTTGTGTTTTCAAATCGATCACTACTACTGTGGGCAAACTCAAGGAAATGATTTACACAAAAGCCAACTATTGCCTTCAGCCGATGTTATCAGTGTTTATGAGATGAGCTACATGAACTCATTGAGATTTAAGATCTTGTGGGCTGGATGTAGTCGTTTGTTCTGAATTTAGAAGTAATTAGGATTCATTCTGTCTGCATGTTACTTATTAAACTGGTGAACGAGATCAAACAAGCAGTTTCTGGGTAGCGCATATCTGAAAACATAGGATGTGTATCCTTCCATAATGCCTATGCATTTGAGGGAGAATCGGGCAAAACATTGAAAGATTGTGTAAAATGGAAGTGGAACTGATTACAAGATTTTTTTGGAAAACAGTGGAAATAACTATGTATGTAAATGTGAACTTCAGTGTGTTAGAGATGTAGAGCAATGACTGGTTTGTAGGCCTTCTTGATGGTCATTTTGACTGGAAATGAAATAAATGAGGGGTCTCTGATGACTTTTGCACAGTGCTGTACATGAAATAATGGAGACTTCTGATATTCTGTGTTTTTTAAAGAGAACTTTTCTAATGTGTTTAATATAGGATGATGTTTTTATAGTCATAATGCACCTCTATACTTTTAACTCTCAATGATGGAAATAAAGTGAGAAAGACGCCACGCTCACCTGATACAGTCAGTGTAACAGCCTCACTGGTGTGTGTGTATATTCGGCCTGTTGACTGTGTTCCCTTACAGGTATAAACACCTGCATGAGACTGATCAACATTAGAGATTTCATATTTCTTCCTTTGAGCATCTCTGAGAAGATTATTATTCTTATACCATTCATAATTCCAGTCATCTCCACTTTCTATTTCACATGTCAGAGTGACTCTCTCTCTGATGAACACATGATCAGCTGGCTGGACTTTCACTGTAGCTTTTGGTCTCTCTGTTCAAATATGATACATACATTTTAGTGAGATAAACACACACACACACACACACACACACACACACACACACACATAGCATATTATGGACTTTTTCCAAATTTAAATGCAAATTTGAAAATGCTAATTAAATTGTATATTTACAACTGCATTTCCTCGTCGTCTCGCTCCAGTTCTGCCGAAATTAAAATCTATCTGCAACCCAGTTTGCAAATCTGTTTTCACTGTTAATGAGGCACTACTGTCAGTCAAACACTGTGGGCAGGACATTGCGAGGGAGTTTTTAGTGTAGGGTTTGTTTTAAGAGGAAGTGACAAAAAAGTCTAAATTTTGGAGGTACTGACACAGAGCTAGACACTTGTTTAGACAATTAAATTATCGGTAGCAACTGTTGCTAGGGACACGTTTACACTTGCTAAGCAGGCTGAGGACGATTCTGTCAAAAGTTCCTGCTGTTTTGTGTAGAAGTTATTTTTTTTACCCGTTAGGAAAGCTTATGCCTTTAACAGGCACCAATGTCCATCACACTGTGACCAGTTTTTGGACATTGCTTTTTGGACTTCGTACATGGTTACTGTTTTCATTATCTGACTTTTGACTTTGGACTGGCTGACCTTGATGTTGGATCCTCCCTTTCTTAATAAACCCATTTTACTTAAGTGTGGTCTGCGAGCATCTGAATTCTGTTCGAGCCTGTATCTTAAAGGATGCACACTCAAATGAGAAGTGCAGTTAATACAGCTAATGCAGTAAATACACAATGTAA